ATTCAATCAACAGTTTTAGTTTGATATTTTTTTACCTTATAAACCTATCATACTTTACGACTTCATTTTTAACAACCTTCAGGGGAAGTGACGAGAAACGGCCAGTATTCAATCAACAGTTTTAGTTTGATATTTTTTTACCTTATAAACCTATCATTACTTTACGACTTCATTTTTAACAACCTTCAGGGGAAGTGACGAGAAACGGCCAGTATTCAATCAACAGTTTTAGTGTGATATTTTTGTACCTTATAAACCTATCATTACTTTACGACTTCATTTTTAACAACCTTCAGGTGAAATGAAGAGAAACAGCCAGTATTCAGTAAAAACATTTTTATTTTCTTCACATTTCACTTTATGGCTTGTTCAAGAAGTAGACAACTTACTGAACAAGTTCTCTCTCAAGAGAACAAACAATGAGTTTTTATGTATGATCATCAACAATAGAATCAGTTTATTTTTTATTTCAAAATTCTAAAGGGAGGTGAACCCCACTTTCTACTGTTATGTGTAGTTTAATGAAAATGGTTTCCCACTTGTGATATTGATTGTTTTATCTGTTGTGAGATATTTACATTTAAATGTAGATGATGTTTTGAGTAGATGAATGTTCTGAAATTAAATAAACAGTACTTAAGTATTGGCAAGTTTTCTCAACATGTGGTTTCAGATTTACAATGTGATTATTTCCAATTATGAGTATGGTGGAGGGGGTCCCACTTTGGTCAGATACTTATAATGTCTCTTAAAGCTTTATTTGTGCAGCTATGAAAATATTTTACAATAAGATTTGGTCGTTTGCACTTATTAAGTTAACCCTAAATTTAATATTTGTTTTTTTTTAAACACATTCAAAATTGTGGTCACTGTATGATTTAAAAAGAAAAATGAAAGGAAAACTGCTAGGATGGGATGTTGAGGTGAGAAGAGATGAAGACTTTTCACACAGTTCATAACTTTTATAACATTCATTACATTTCATTTTATCTACTGATAACTGAGTCTTCGCTAAATTTGTCCATTGACACCCTTAGCGATAAGCTTGTCGTTCGGAAACGTTGTAATGGCTAAGTTTCGATAGAAAATTAAAATGATCTGATATATTATTATGGACATAAAATATAAACTTATTTTTTTATTGCACATTACAAGTGAAATAGAATTAATTGGTATATTTGAAGAATATTATATACAATCGTTTCTTTAACATATAAGATATATAGTGTAGTGTCTGTTGCTGTCCATCAGTATTACAAACCATAATTTTCAGCAAGTTTCCCTTTTTTTAGATGCTATATTACCCTTACTCAGTCTCTACATCTTATTATGGGAGGTGCCCCAGCAGGCCCTGCAGGGACTGGAAAGACAGAAACTACAAAGGACTTGGGACGAGCTTTGGGTATAATGGTGTACGTTTTCAACTGTTCTGAACAGATGGATTACAAATCTTGTGGAAATATCTACAAAGGTCTTGCCCAAACTGGTGCGTGGGGCTGTTTTGATGAATTCAATAGGATCTCTATTGAAGTATTATCTGTGGTAGCTGTACAGGTAAAATATAATTTAAGATGAATAGGTCCATCCAGATATAATTTTTGTTTTAAGGAAATGCAGTCTTTCTTCCAAAAGTGTTTGGGTTTATTTTTATGATTTATGAACCTTTTTATCTTTATTCCAAGAAGCATAAATTATTTGAATTAATATTTTATTTTAAGTTATTGTTTTAATTTATTAAACCTTTTGTATTTTTAAATTCACCCATTGATGGAATGATATTAACTTTAAGAACTTCTATAGTTACAAGAAAAATAGACGATGTAATATATAGCTCATTCAGTGAATGGCATTTGGCCTGTTAGCTACACATACTGAATCGGGGTGATGTTTGAAATTATTCACTATACAGTAATCCATAGTCTAATACTTTATATTTAGGTAAGGAGATCCATTATTACTATTTTAAACCACATTAGTCCATCAGACCGATCCTGTTTTTGTGAAGCTATACATATTAATGTTTACTATAATTCTGAATTTGCTAAATGCACCTTTATGAGATTTTACAACCTATTAGTGAACATTATACGTAAGAGCAGATCTTTAACAGTGTGTTTCTACTGAATCTAATAGCCACTACTGAGACATTCTGAATGATGTTTCTTGATAAGAATAAAATTACTTCTCTTTAGCTCAAAATTTCATATTTCTTTTGTGTAACCTCTGGAACCTCCTAAATTAATATTAAAACTTTATATTTCATATCTTTTATTTTCTCTACCCTCACATTAACTGTGTCAGAATCATCTTGATTCAGAGGAAAAAATTTGAAATAAATCAGTAATATCTTTTTTGTTCTAGACTGCAAACTTTACCGGACAATTACAATTATTTATTGTAACAACCTCGGCTATCTAATTTTTTCACTTTTAGTTTTATTATTTTACGATACCCTTTAGCTCTATCTTAGATATCGAACAATTAACTACAACAGGAAAATCTTAGTGTAAAAAACTAATCAATTTATAACCAAATGATTGAGTTAGCTCAAATTTTTATTGTGAATTGTTTTTATTTCATTTTTTTATTCATTACTTTTGTTGTCTAACCTAATAAATTCCTAATTTTTACATTATACTCTTCCTAAAAATATATAATAATAATATAAAATATACAAAAAGAAAAATATATTTTGGACTTACATTTCGGTAATTTTACTCAAGAGCATACTTTCTAAGTACTAGTTTTTTCACAATATCTTGTTTCTTCTTAAAATAATTAACATACCTTCCAAATATTAGATCACCAAAAGTATATCATACACTAGAATAGAATGTCCCAAAACTACTGTAATTACTGTAGTTTTTACTGGCTTGTTATATAGGTTACAATTCTGTCATCTTTTTGTTATTTTCATGAAAGGAATTTATTTTTTAAAAGAAAGAAACTTTCCTCAACTGGGGTGATCAGGGATATTATTATTATTCCCATCTGCCCCA